AGTTTATAGTATTCGTTTGAAATGTCCTTGTATGACGAAACTGCAGCAACGTTAGTTACAAATAAAAGTCTTAATTTTATACGGCATCTTTCTCTGGATAAATTTGAATGATTCCCTTCGGAATCTTGAACAAATGTAATGAGTTTTAAAAGAAGGGATTTATCAGATATCCTCACACTACCAAATCGCTACTTCCAGAACCCAAACTCAACTCAAAGATGGTAGAGGTGACTTACCCTTCACCCTTTGCTTTTTTAAATGTATGCACTTATTCAACATTGAGACACTGCCATTAGTAAATAATATTTGTCTTCAGACACCAATAACCAATGAATGGTAAGTTGCATAGCCAAGCTACGATCGCTGGACGCCGAACGATCGCTGAATGGCAACTAGTGGAATTTAAAGCCCAAACATAGCATTAATGAACCAACAGCGGGCAGCACTATTTCAACCCGTCATAGTGGTGTTACGCTGAACCACGAAAGCATCGCTGAATACAACTGTCCTTGAAGAACAAACCTGAGTGAGAACATGCAATGACACCTCTCCTCGAATATCATAGTTAAAGGAAACTCCCATAAGTTGCATAGCGAAGTTTGAGAGTCTCGTTTATCTTTAATATTCGTTGATTAAGTTCTCTGTTAATCCCATAGATGACGTCTTCAAAAGAAGACGATAATTCGGTAGCTTCAATATAAAACGAGTCATGAAAGCTAAGGATTAACAAAGCTGCTGGGCCAGTTGCTTTACTGTTGATAATATCAAATTTTATAAATAAGACTGAAAATCGATAATATGGTTTCTGCAAAAAATTATCAAAGGTGGAATCCTGTTGTATGATAATCATCTTTGGAATAGAGAAATACAGAAATTCGTATTTACTCACTAAACCTCGTTTTTGTGACTCGATCGGATTGTTTTGTCCGTGGCTTCCTAGCTTTCTCAAAGATGTAAAGCTAAAAAGGCAATGGGCGGAATCCGTCTCTGGTTTGACTATATTGATGCGCTCGATAGGAGATATTGAAGTTTTGTTATCTTTCTTTGAAAAGGTGAGAGAAATATGTTGATTTGAAGTTATCTTGTCTAGTAGATAGGGAAAATAAACCCACCTGATAATATACATTTACTTTTGTCGACATTTATGATCGATATCCCCCAGTACAAAGGAGGACTTTTATACAAACTTTTTTGGTTGGAAATATATAACTATTTTATGAGAACGAGTAAGCAATAATATGTGGTATATGTCTACAGATTGCCTCTTGAAGGAGCTGGATATATTGATAGTTGATTTTCCAGCTCTTTTCCCCTTCCTACGTTTTTGTAAAGATTTTCTTTCCGTTTTCATATTTCTTTGCCATAATTTGAAAAATGGATCATAGATACTCGTGGTAGTAAATAAATATATAATGAATATTTAGGAAGTAATGGCTAGAAGTATAGAATATAGATATAAAATATACCATTTTTCTATTTTTATTAATAGATTTTGTGATAAAATAGTAAAATAGTAATGATATCATCAGTTGTGTTAGATGGTGTGCACCGCCCATGAACGAATAACGAATAAACCATCAATCCAAAATAATAAATGCCATACGTTGCAAGGGAGCCAAGCCTCCGACCGCTTTAAAAAACACAGGCTCTACGAGACCGATTCAACCAGAGACATACGTCCCGATTTGTAATTTCAGTTGCAGAAATTATAGCGTAAGAGGAGGCTTGCCTCCAGTTGGTCTCCGCTAGTGTACGAATGCGTTTGTTTTTTATTTAATTATTCGGATGGGATGCCGTGACGGACCGGGCCTGAAAAATATTTCGGTAAATCGTTTTAGTGTTTCTTGATAATATTTGTTATTTGTGTATAAAACAGGCAGTATTGTATTATAGCAGTGCTTTTTGGTAATATTTTTATGTGTTTTTAAAGGCCTCTGGGAAGGCCTTAACCAAATTTGATTTCAATTAAAACGTCAGATAATCGACAAAATCAAGGATTCAATATTAGTTGGTAAGATAAATGCGATTGGTTAACCGGTTCCATTAAACGAGAAAAACTTTTTTGTTGGCCCTGTGTTTTATTTTCCGTACAAACCGAATACCAAACGTGGTCCAAAATAGGATACTCCGATTTTGCCTATTTTAGGCAAAAGTTAATTGCGCAAACCTGTGATAGGGCTGAGGTCATGGCCGGCCATTTAAATGGTTTATAAACTAAAATAAAGTCCATAGTTCCTCATGCACTTTTTACGCATCGTCATGCCCATGCCCTAACTTTAGTATAAAGCAAAGCGTGAAGCAACATAAACATTTTCGCGCCTCCGGCGGGTTTTTCTGTGTGTAAGTATATAGTTTTTATGACTTTAGCCTCCCGTGTTCTCCAATGCACGAGCCGTCACTGATCCTCACAAACTCAAATCGAATACAGTCATTTTAATCATCTGGGAGAAATAAATCCTTTGGTACATCCCCTTATATGAACAAGAATACAACATGAGTTGGTTGAAATGTTTTTTTTAAGCAGCTGTCGTCCCCATATGAACGACAAACGTCAAAAGTCATCACATATCAGACAATATGCAGTTAACACTCATCATTTCAGAATATGAATCGATTCAGGTTCACATTGATGGACAATTCAACGAGTAGAACTAACCACTCGCGCAGTCGGCTCACACTTGTGTGGAGCAAGGCAACTGAAAAATAAAATCTTCGGTTGCCGGCAGCCGGATTTGCACTAATGATCGATGGGGTGCGTATTCAGTGGTTTGGACCATCAGATACTATATACTCCACTGAGCTCGATATGTACTCATCGAGTTTCAAAAACAAACAAGGCAAGATCATGTGACGCACAGCTTTGATCTACATGAAATGTATATGTATTCCACACCTAACGTGCTTACATGGCCGAAGTCACAATGAAAGAGAACAAATCCGGGCCGGTAGGCCATGTTCGAGTGGAACCTATAGTGCCAAATGTTTCATAACCTAACCTTACCTTACTTAATCTTCATCCTCGCAGTCATATCATCAGTGGTATGTAGCAGACGAAACATTTGATGCTTCAGGTTCCATTCTACCACGGCTTACCATCAGACCGGATTTTGTTCTATTCAATCCTAACGCGTGACATTCTGTATTTGTTTGTGGTTGTAAGGCGTCGATTACGAGGAGAGATCCTGCGTTATTGTCAACCAATACATATGTATAATTGAAGTGTAACTGATCGCTGTCTGTACGTCTGTATGTTCGTGTGCGTTAAACTCAAAAACGTCTTAACCGATCTCAGTCCGGTTATCACTGATATATGGTGGTAATTTCCACTTAATATTTAGTGTTTGATTCATTTAAGTCGGTCCTTGAATACAAATTTTTTTCAGTTTTGAAAATAACGTCAAAATTGCAAAATATTGATTCCAACTGAAATTTTTTGAGTTCCCATTAAATGATAATTTTTACGAAAAAGTATCTCCAGACTCAAATTAGAAAGAAAGTTTTTGGCTTTCTACTACTCCATCTTGATAAAAAAAGGATGAGGGAATCTTCCAAAGAAAGGAAGGAAGTAATCAATTTGAAAATAAGTAACTCTATACATAGATGTGTAGATCATGCAAAGAGGTAACTTTCAGACACAAACTGAAAGAAAGTCCTCCTGAAACAGCTACTTAAAAAAATCGGTTTGAAATCTGTTTTTCCGTTAATCAGCTGTCGCCCCCATACGAACGACAACTCACAGAAGTTGAGAAACTTGTGCGAGCTAAGGACTAACGAGGTCTTACCTTTTAACGTGTGATTCCTAACACGGTTGCAGAATCATTCCAGCTTCAACCATATAAATTCTCTCGTGAAAAATATCTGGTCGAGGCGGGAATCGAACCCACGGCCTTCCGATCATGAGTCGGGCGCGCTACCGATCGTGAGTCGAAAAAAATTTAGTTTGTACTAGAAACTCCTTTTTTGGAAAATGTTTCTATCGGTTATGGAAGACGCAATTAACAGAAACTGTATCTGAATGTTATGTTCCGATGGACAAATTATCAGGTTATCAAAAAAAAGTTATTTCCTAAAAAGTAAATTCCATTCGGCACTAAGAGACCTCGTTAATCCTTTGCCCGCACAAGGTTAGACTCCTGAGGGTTATTGCATGGGAGAGCGACAACTGGTTAACGAAAAAATATAATTCAAACGGATCTTTCAAACATCCTATATATGGAAGTTCTGATGTGTGTTCGGCGATTTCCTGCTGTCTAAAGAAATGAATCAAATAATTTGTATCAAATTCTGTATAAAAAATGGAAAAAAGTGCTCAAAAACACTTGAAATCTCGACAGTGACATACGGTGGTTATATGACATACGGTGGTTATATTCTGAGTCAGAAAAATGTTCAATGTGGTATAGTCGCAGTAACTGATATAGTAATCTTAAAGGTGTCGGCGAAGTCAAAGGCCAAAAAAACCAATACAAAAGAAGTATGCCGCAACGAATTAGTCCACGTGGACTGGAGAATTGGCGGTTCGTATTGGATAATTTTTACTAACCAAGTTTTATGATTGGCTGAAGAGTCATAAAATTAAATTTGAAGTCATGTTACGGTGACCAACAGAATGTAGCGATGAGTACCGCCGTTGTGTGTGTTATTAAAGGGGAACTGCTGGAAGGTAGGGGGCACTATATCTTTTACTTGAACTATACAAGCTTTTCGCAAAAGGTCGAGAAAATGTGAATTACGACACTCGCCCTGGACGCGCCAGCACATCTATAACCGATGAAAATGTTGAAGAAAATTTTTATGGAGAATTGTCGAATCACTATTAGAGAAGTTGCTGAGGACGTCGGCATATCGGTTGGCTCATGCCTTGCAATTTTTTCGAAAATTTTGGACATAAAGCGTGTGACATCAAAGTTTGATTCAAAATTGCTGGAGCAACACGACCACGTGAGCATCGATCCAAATTTGATAAAAAGGGTCATAACTGCTGACAAATCATGTGTATATAATAATAATAATATCGTCTTTATTATGTAAAGATTACCAATTATTATCTACATATTTCGAAAAAATAATACAGGAAAATCTCTTTCTTGCTTGAACATCACAAGGCGAGATTTAGCCTTCGGCTGCTCTCACATCTAACCCCCTGATGCTCATCTAGAGTTGATAATACCATATGGCCCTATAAATTACAAAATTAAAAATAATACTAACTAAAAAACCAGACATAACTAAGTTTATTCAACCAACATTCACCTAAACTATTCACTGTGCAGATAGTAAAGATTCTTTTATAAACTTTTTAAATGCTCTCAAATCTGAGTCCCTGTACTGAATAGGGATAGAATTGAAATTTTTAATAGCAGTATAGGTAAAGCTCCTCTGGAAAGTAGTTGTCGAATGATGTGGCAATAGTGAGTAAGCCCTTTTCCTTTACATTAATAGAATGTGTATGAGATCTAGGAAGTAATCTCCTTCGATTAATATCATTTTCATTTCTCATCATTTTATAAACATACATGTATAGATGAAGTCGTCTACGATTTTCCATACTGAGCCATTCTAACACTCTTAATTTTTGAGATACGTGGTCATACCGACGTACTCAGTAAATAAAACGAACGCAAACATTCTGAACCTTTTGAATCTTATATTTAAATTCATTATCAAGACAAGGACCATACAAAAAATCACAATAGGTAAACTGTGAGAGGACAAGGGTTTCACATAGAGTCTTGCGCAAATTTACATTGAGAATAAACCGGTTGCTGTAAAGAGTTTTCAGTGAAGTGAAAGTTTTTTAAGAATGCTATTTACATGAGATTTGAAACGGAGATCGTTGTCTATTATTAAACCCAAGCTTTTCGCCGATTCAACGGCTATTAATGGTACATCATTGATAGCAACTGCCAAATTTGAATGTATAAAATCGTATTGAGTTTTTGGTGAGAAAACTAATGTTTTTGACTTGGAAGNAATTACAAATTTTCATAATATAGACATTTTCAATACGGGTTTCACTACAACAGTAGCTTTCTCAGTTCTACTGATTCTCTACACTGCTTTACAAATTATATACAAACTATCGTTACCAAAAATTATTGTCACTGATGATTCGACTAATTCTAGTAAATTTTTCATAGAAATAAATTTAAGAGTGGTAAGAGAATAACTTCTTGCTGTTAGCCCTTGAACATGTATACCCTCACACAAAAGATAATACAAACACTTTCAAAACAGTGACATACACAGAAAAGGCATCAGAAAAGATAAGTTAAGTACTAACCAAACAAAAAATCAGCATAGCATACAAGACTGATAACACCTCAGGTAGACAAAACCAACATCGGCAAGGGCAACAAATCCGGTGTCTACAAGCTAAAATGTGGCTGGTATCCAAAAGTTTATATTGTATAAACATCTAGAAATTTCAAAACCAGCATCTCCGAACACCAAAAAAGTTTTCAATTAAAAAAAAAAGTCAATCGAATTTATTTTCATGAAAAATTCTCTAGAATTATTCGAATCATTTGTAACAAAGAAATACTATGTATTTGCCGGCTACCTGTTCTGTTAGTAATTAGCTACTAATTGGTTTCTATTAATTACTGTCGATAATTTGTATACATTGCAGAGTAGTGTAGTACTACCAGTGGAACTGAGGAAGATACTGTTGTAATGAAACGTGGAAATAAAGTTTGTATTGTGAGAATTTGTAATTAGTATCATGAATAATTCGCTTACTTTTTGATGCTGGAAACTTTTGCCAAAAATAGGTTTGATGAATTTCCTTCGAAAAATACATTGTTTTTTGGTAACTATACGTGGAATCGTTGAAACTTTCATTTTGTCGGTTACCCAACTGTCAACAAGTTATTACTTCGTTTGTCTACAGACAATATTAACCTACTATTCTTTTTTTTCTGAGCTATATTTAAATCAAGAGTGAATTTTTGACAAATTCACTTTTTTTAAGAGTTTTTCGCGAAAAACTGTCTGAAAACGTGGAATAATCTGTTGAAAAATTGATACTTTCACTCGCGAATAAATCGAGAAGTATTGACTTTCAGAAAAAGATCATGGAACGAAAATTGTACAGAATTAGCCATTCTATTCGTTCCCAAATATTTTTCACCCCTGAGATAGCAGGGTAAGTATCAAATTTAAGTGCAAACCGTTGCCTATTGACAAAATTTCACAGTTTCGCTGTATTTTCACCTTTAGTAATTGGACTATCAATATAACATGAAAAGGTGATCCCACTAGAATTCTGGCAACACTGGCTGTTCACTAATTATTCCTGTATCAGTGTTGCTCTTCATCAGAATCCCAAATGGCACTGATGAATCTGTACCGCGTATGAAGTACGAGCAGACTTACCATGGAAAATTCGACTGGAACCAGAAATTGAGTTGAAACAGTAGCTAGCGGTATTGTTTTCGGCTTGTGGACGACCTGTGTTGTTCGTCGTTCGCTCATTGCTGGCTCTGCGCTGGATTTGGACAAGTCGAATACCTTGGTTCGTGTCAGGCGGACGGCCAAAAAAGTCTAAGATGATGCAGGCGTCTAGTTTCAAAACTAGATATGTCACAAAATTGTTTATTTGGAGTTGATACGATTTTCTATTGGATACATTTCAAATCTATTACAGCTTGGCAAAACTAGCTGTGCCTATGAGATGCGCGAACGATAAAGAGAGATGGTAACTGTCCACTACCAACTTCTATCAAGAAATACATTCGATAAGTAAATTTTGGCTCGAATAAATTCGGCAAGTGTTGACTACTACACATAAGTCAGTAGGAAACGGCACCAATTATTCCTTTCGTGCAGGTGGAAAATATTCGAGAAATAATGAGTGACATATAATTGCAAAAAATAGATACGTACATTCTCATTGAAGATAAATGAATTGAAAGAAAATTGATAAACTTGCAACCGATAATTAATAGATAATTGAATGCATAGTTACTAGAAATGATTGTGAAACGTAGCAGGTACATAATCTACAAAAAATTACTTGCAATATGGATAATAATAAACCACTATATATATAGTGGTATGTATTATATATACCACTATCATGGGTTCATTTGACATGAAACCACCCTCAAATTTCTTTGGTCGTTCACAACGAGATTTCCATTGCTCTCGAGAAAACTGTTTAAAAAATCGTCGCAGTATTGCATGAAATCGTTGATATTGAAAGTACCATTTTTATTTGCCACGTAATCTTTCAGTCCAGCCCAAACAAACTCCATTGGATTCAAGTCCGGGTGATATGGTGGTAATACTACAGCGTTGTGTAATTTCTTGCTAGAAAGAGCTGATCTATTTCATACCGCTTGAATTTTGGCTTATAGTTGTTTGTGAGGGCATATAATACAGTTATCAGCATGGAAATGGAATATCTCTGACGAGCATGATTGCATATCGGGTTTTTTTGTCTATGTCGTTGACATTTTTTAGATTTGCTCATGCTTCTCAACGGCAAATTCGGAATCAACTGTTCCGACACCCATATCTCATAATTATCAAATTTCATCTAGTTGTGTTCATTACAATTTTATTTCCATCTAATTAAATCATTCTTTTCTATAGGTCCACATTTTCGTTAGTAATTATATCCTAAATGGTCGAACAGGCTGGCGTTCCATCAATATTTTTCTGTTATTTTTTACTTCTCTCCATCATTTCGCGAAGACTGCCTGCTACCCTGATAGTCAGTATCTCGGATAATAGTTTCATGAATTTCCATCAGCGTAAAAACTCGTTTCTCTTCGATATGGAAATTGATTATGCATCTGCGTAAAATTGCCAAAACAGCATCATTCATCACAATTTTGAACTCTTTGATACATCTATTTTTATTTGGAGTTGAAAATTTCTTTTCTCACCAAATTCTATTTTTTTATATCTCATTCTATTTTTCGTACAGTTCGCACGCGAAATCCTATGGCTTCTGCTACTTGTTCTTGAACCTTCAAAGTTGAAATTTAATATTGGTTACAATTCTACTTATTATTATTATTTCTTCACACCTTCGCGAAAGGAATTCTTATTTCATCTTTATCTGATTTTTCCACTGAGAGCATTTTTCTTTATTTACGATTCAAATGCATTTACGATTCAAAGGCATTTACGATTCAAAGGCATTTCCAAAGACAAAAAATAACTCACATAACACAGAATAATGTATGTACTTACTGTACTAACACGATGTTCACTACACGAGTTCCTCGATGTTAATGAGATCTCATCCCCACTCCGCCGGTTGATCTGCTGCTCATGTAATATTCAGAGGCACAGCTATATTTTCCAAGCTGTACCATACTAGATATCAATATTCAAAACCAAATAGATATCATTTAATTGCACCGTGAATGTAGAGGTTAATTTCAAAATCAGATATGTCCAATACGATCAATTTCAAACGCAAGATGAACTTCAGGAAAGTATCAACCACGGCCTATCGGCTCGAATAATCAAAAGCATCTATGACAAATATTTAACTCACCTGCTCTATTGATATCATCTATGTTTAGTGCTAGGTCAAATGTAGTACTGGTGTCATTAAAATATTTAAATCATATACAAGTACGAATTTTAACTTTCAAAAAGTACCTTCAAAAGTACTTTCAAAAAGCCTCTATCCCCAGAAAGATGTGGAGAGGAGGTAGTTCTAGAAGGACCTCCATGGTCGCTAACGGTGTGGTGCAGAGAGCATTGCTGTAAAGATTTTGGCCAACAGGCAATTGCTGAATACGTAATCATTGATCTGACGATCATCACATATACACGTTAATGTTTGAATACAGGTCTTATCTGATTCACCAGTAATGGGTTCAACTGGTTACAACAATTTGTCCATGTCAACAAGAAAGATAACAAATTTTTGTAAATTGGGGGACATCTGAAGCATAACTTATTTGGGTTGGTTTCAATTTGAAAGATCCATTGAAGATTTTTTGCAGTTTTTGAATTTCTAACCCAAGGTTTAGAGAGTTTAATTTGTAAACTTTTGTTATTCACAATATTTTTCAGACATAGAGACAACGGTATTAGTAAAATCATTCAGCCAGCGTAATAGATGATTTAAATTACAAGTATACCTTATTTGAACAAGGATAGTTCTTAAATTCTAATTACCAATTATGTTTCAAACCGGTATTTGAATGACCAACGTTACTAAAAGAAAATCACAAATTTCAAAACTTGCGATATGAGTTCTTAATTAAATAAAAAAGGGATACCATACGCAGGTTATTCTACCGTTAAATAAAATTATCCGGAACTCAACAGATATGGACACAGGGTGCATAACGATATACATCTGAACAATTTCTGTGTAGAAGTGAAACAGTACATCATACATTTCAATGAAAAATAGGGATGAAACAATGTAGTTCCTCAGAGTTATGTTTAGAGGCCTAATTTATATTAATATATTTTATAGAGTTGTCTTCATTTACGGGTGTAGCCGATACTTTTGGAGATAACTGGTAAAAAGGTACTTCTGAACTTTCAAAAAAGATTATATAAAGGTGGGAGAGTTGAAAGTTTGATACTTGAAGGGACTTTCCATAGAGTTATATTCGTTTTATTCATGGCCATTCACAGTATGGGACATTGCCCCATGATGTGTATCAATGCGAATTATAGAAAATATGCTGAAACTCTACTTTGTTTGACCTAGTAATCCTATGATATGTTTATAAATAATGGAGGATATTATATTTTACAGAAGAAATAAAAACAAAAAATGGATCAGTGACATAATTATAGCACAAGAAAAGAGAAAAAAATATATATTAAAGAACTGATCGGTCCTTGATGAAAATCCATTATAACGTATTCATTGTACTTGGAACTTGAGTTTTCGAAGAAAACAGTTTCAGCTGTTCAGCATGTTCAATTTGTTGGTGAGATGTACGAAAGTTAGAAGTGTTTTCCCTGTTCGGCGATTAACTGCTATCAAAAAATGGATAGAAGAATTTGCATCAAATTTTGTGTACAAAATGGAATTGAGTATAGAAAAACACTTGAAATGTTGACAGTGTCATACGGTGAAAGTACTGTGAGTCAGAAAAATGTTCACAAGTGGTACAAGCTTTTCACAGAAAGTCGAGAAGCTGTGAACACCTATGCTTGCCCTGAAAGCCCCAGTACATCAACGATCGATAAAAATGTTGAGAAAGTGAATAAAATTGGTATGGAAAATCGTCGAATTACTTTTAGAGAAGTTGCTGAGGATGTTAGCATATCGGTTGGCTTATGTCATGCAATTTTTCAGAAATTTTGGCAGCGTGTGGCAGCGAAGTTCGTTCCAAAACTGCTGAATTTTGAGCCTCAAAACTGTCACATCGCTCAGGAATTGTTGAATGGCGTCAACAGCGATATGGTTTTGACATCGTCCCAATGGAAGAGCCCAGGAGAACCAAGACTCAAAAAAGCACGCCAAGAGTTCATGGCTTTTGCACCTGCTCACTCGTTATTGCTTATTCATGATTTTTTGTCCAAAATCAACACCGTAATAATACCCCAGCCACCGTATTCACCAGATTTGACCCCTTTGACTTTTTCCTGTTCCCAAGATTGAAGAGACCCATGGAAGGGCGGCGTTTTGCGACGACTGGTGAGATAAAAAATGCTGAGAGAGCTCCAGGACATTCCAAAAAGTGCATATCAGAACTGATTCAAGGATTGGAAAAAACGCTGGCACAAGTGTATTATTTTTGAGGGGGAATACTTTGAAGGAGAAAAAAAAAGAAATTGAAATGAAAATTCACCTTATTTTTTTGAATAGAGAATATAGAAGGAATTCAATGCATTACTTCAACTTTCAGAATGAACTATATTCTCAAGGATATGCATTTCTCACTTTCTTAAGCTATTTCGAAATGACCAAATGATAACATGTTTACGAAATTACTGAACTTCGTGAGGTTGTCAACCCCTTGCTTTGTTGGCGAAAAATATCGGGTGATGTCTCGATATTCCTGACTCATTATTCATCGAGGACATAAATAAGGTGTTATAACTCATTTCAATCAATATTGGTATGAGTTTACCATGTCCTTAAATTATGTCAACATAAAACAATGTATGCTCTTAATCTAATTGTGACTGTAGAATGATAAGGATGTAGCAGTGAATTTGTTACGATTTTTTTAAGATTTTTCAGAGCCAGTACTCCCCGTCGATGCGCCTCTTACTTAACCCTTGACCGTTATTTGACTGCTTTTTTTACACTTTATAACAGAGTACTATTTTTTCGATTTCACCAAAATTGTTGACTGTTATTTATAAATTGGTCAAATAGAAAATGCCAAACGTTGCCAACATATGGGACACAATATTCATTACATAACAGAAAACAGGTGATCATTCCTATTACTGATTGAATCTTGAAATCTTCCTGTTCAGATATTGTTTCAATTAGCAAAAAATCTGAAGTAATTGATTGACAGGCTTACATCGAGTATAATGAATTATCTACAGATCCATAAATAACCGATATGATCTCTCCAGGTTTCCAAGTTTTTCACTTTTTCGAATTAACTTCCATCGGTTCTAATATACTTTTCCCAGTGTTCCTGCCACTTTTTAACAGCAATACCAGAGCATTTTTCTTGAGCTCTTTACAGTTTTGAACAGCTTGAAACCTAATTTCGAGGAAGTCGTCGTCAGGTTCAAATTTTGTCTAGATGGGAAATTGCAATGCC